GGCACATTTGCCACGGGTCTTTGAAAGCGTCTTGCTTCCAGGAAAAAGAGACAACAACGACGAAATGACTTCGCCGCTGGCCGATTGATCTACGGATCTGGGCATTGAATCTACGGATTCAAAAGTCTACGGACTTGAATCTGAAGTCTACGGACATTCAATCTAAGTCTACGGACTTTGACGGACAACCACTGAAATTTTTGAATCAGGTCCGCGTACCGGCACATTGACAGACTCTCAGACCCAAAAATGAGTTGGCTGTGACCCTGCGGCGCCAGTCATGACACTGTCTTATTTTTGCATCTTTCTCGCCGCTCGTCCTTCATTTTTTGGATAGCAGCATTCCCGCAATTGTCAATGATTAAAAAAACATGATAGAATGAATAGTAATGACATTCATGATAGTTAAATTTATGAATAAAATACAATGTCACGATAAAAGGTCCTCAGTTAGTCCAGCTGCGCCAGCCATGGGAGGGTCAGAGCCTGACATTCTGAAGCACTTAGTCCCAGGATCAATTGTCGCCCAGCACGCAACGAAGACTTGCAAGCTTGCAGCGCAAGACTGTGGTTTGTGCGCTGTGCAAAAAGCTTGGAAGAGTTCCCGGAAGCCATGGCTTCGAATGGCACTGGTGGACGGAGCAGCTCGGTTTGGTTGCTCAATGTGTGCAAAATCAGTGACAGACAGCAGCCCATGGGCCAAATTTGAGCAGGAGCCGTCTACTGTGTTACGTAAGCATAATTTAGACCGGCATGAGAAATCCCGGGCGCACCAGATGGCCGCCGCAAGTGAAGTCATTGGCGCTCCTCCAGTGGATGCTTTCAAGGACTGTTTGCAAGGTCTGATGCAGGGACAATCTGCACGGCAAGGCGGTGTTTCTTCGGACAAGAAGACACGCATGCGATACGCATTGTCGGAAGCAATTATCTCTCGCAACCGAAAGTTAATTTCAGATGCGGAAACTTTGTCTCTGATGCGGGACGAACGCAAGGGAAAACTTCTTGTCCGATTTCGGGCAGTTTGCCAAGATCTGACCACGGTCAGCGGTGTTCTGGGATTCCAGGAAGTGGCAGGCTCTGCTGAGAGCATCGCGTTGGCAACAGGTGAGATTATTACAAGATTCTGTCAGCCCTTTCGTGAACCACCTAGAGGTTCCAAGGTGCAGGAGCATCCCATGGACCAGGACCTTCTCCAAAAAATGAAAGACAAGGTCACCATTGTTGTCAATGACGCTGCGCCAGCTGAACTGCTAGCAGGCGACTTGGAGCGAGGTCGCCGAACTTTTGCGGACGCAAGAGGAGAGGTCAGCTTCAGAAACATCAAGGTGATCGGCCGCGACGTTGCCCACGCATCCACACGTTTGCTCAAAAGACCCTTCCAAGCTTGCCAACCCTTAAAGTCAATAATGACTGAGTGGATCCACGGATCTGAAAGCTTCGCTCAAAAGGTGCATCACAGCCCAGTCCTGATTCAATGGTGGGCCAAGGCAGTGCACAACGATGACTCAGACTTGACGGGAGACCAGTGTACTTCGATGTCGGCTGCTAAACATCGGTTTTCGTCTTACTTCAACCCTCTCTCCAGGATCGTTCGAAACATGCAAAGCGCATTTCAAATCTGCGGACGCGTCCAATCGATGAGGGGAGCAGAGGCAGTGTGGGCCACAAAGCTGTGTCGAAATTTCAATGGCTTCAAAGCAGTTCTGCTCGCAATGGTCGCGGACGCGGCAGCGATCAGCAACGATTACACAAGGGACTGTGATCACGAAGACACAGATATCGCTCAGCTGAACACGCGGGCGAACCATTTTGCGTCGTCCGCTCGGTCTCTCTTTGTGGAACGAAAGGTCCTGACCCTGCCTACTTTTACAAAAGAGTTTCTCAACAGAGAGCGCCCAGTGACCATTGTCCAAGATGGCTTGGCCCAGGAGATCGTGGTCAATCAGTCCGACCTGAATCGGGCGTTCAAGGTGATGGAGGACTATATTAAAATTATTGTTTGCTTTCATGATTCAAATGATTTTCTGCGAGTTTCTGAATTTCAATGTCTGAGTCTGAAAGTTGTCTTTGGCAGGAATGGGTTTCGCTGGCTGAAGAAGTGGTGGCGCACGAATTTCCTCATTGGCATCTATTGTCGTCATTTCAAGTCTTTCACTTGTCAGACTCTGGAAGTCAAGCGGCCGAGAACAGTGAAAGGAATTTGGAGCGAATGGCCCAAGCCTTTCAGGTTTGCCCAGCCAAGGTGAAGCAGCAATACGCTCGGCTGATGCCCATTGCCACTGCTTTGAAGAAGCAAAGCGGCATGTCCAACAGGGAAGCGTGGAAGGAAGCCATGCAACGCACAGGTCGCTATGCAAGCCGGTACGAGGCCACTGACTTTAAAGTCTTGTTGGCCGTGTACCAATGTTGGACAGCTTCCAGTAGCGGGGTGGAACAACTTTTCTCCAAGCTCAAGAGAAGCCCTGTGGAGCTTTCCAACGCCAAGGCGGAGACAGACCGTCGCACTGCCATCGTGATGGGCGACGGACACTCCAGTGTGGCCAAGGCAGAAATCATTAGTGATGCCCGAAAGATTTATGCTAGTCTATCTCAGTCTGGCGGAGTCTCGCGTCTAAGAACACTGCCAAGGTTCGATACTGGGAAGAAAGGGGGCCAGAAGAAGGGAAGCTTCGCCGCGTGGAACAGAGCACGCAAGAAAGCAGTGCAGCAAGCGGTGCAGGACTCGCGGCAAACTCCTCCACGAAAGCCATCTGCTCTGCAGACCGAATCATCGCAGAAGGAATGTGACTATCAAAGACAACAAGCTCTCAAGAGGAAGGCAGAGGCCTTGCAAGATGGACTGTTACTGGCAGATGAAATCACTTTAGAAGTGCGAGCCGAAGCAGAAAGGGTGGCCAAGGCAAGCCGCCAGCAAGACCGGCTGAGAGCGAAACAGCGGCAGGAGTACGAGTCTGGAACACAGTTGGTGACAATCAAGAGAAGCCATGAGTGGGCTTGTCAAAACCTTTCTGGACCTGCGTGGTGCTGCCCAAGCCTAGGAACTCAGCAGCAAGCAGTTGCTCGAGCTCTCCACAAGCACGGTGTGACGAGCTGCACCAAGGACATGTAGTCGCTGAGCCTGTCATGTTTTAATTTTTTGGGTGCTCCGAGTCATGCAACTTTTCTCACTGTGACTCAGGACTTGTGGCATGCGAAGCTCGTCGTGGTGAAGAATTTTACGGAAGTGGAGCGGAATGTTCAGGTCATGGCTGCGCTCACCGGCTCTGCCTTGATCTCGGCTGACGTTTTGCTTGGTCATGGAGGTGTGAAGCTAGTCTATCACCCCGGCCACAAGATAGAAGCTGCTGTCTTCGCCACCAACACTTTCAAGACGGAGGAGCCTGGCATGACCGCGCTGCTTCGGGAAGCTTGCGCGCGCGGCGGTTGGAAAGCAGTTAGGGCGCAAGACTTGAAGGGACGCGGGAGGAAGCCAAGTTTGCTTTTACGCGGTGAAGGGGAGGTCATCGACGGTTTCAGCAAAACTAAGGTGAAGCATTTTTCCGCAGATGAATTTATGCGGTGGTTGTCAACAGTTTGCCTCAATAAGGAAGCAAGCGCCTGTGTGAAAGCAAAGTCTTGAATACACTCTGACTCTGAACCTGCGATAGGGGAAGCTCGCGGGTGGAAAAAGACACGGGAGCCCTCGTTGAGTTCGGCTATTTTATTATTATTGCCGTAGTCGTGTCGTCGCAATTTAAATTGTGGCATCCTCTCTCCCTGGCGCGTGTTTTACTACTGCAGCTGTTCATCTCAAACATAATTTTAAATTAGGACATGAGCCCGAAACCGAAGTCGAGTCAGAGGCCCGGGCCCCGCCAACCGCTTCAACGTTCCATCAGCAAAGTGAAACCGGACAAGTCTGTGACATCAGTGGTTTTACGAAACCAGCTGCTGTGTATCAATTCTCTGGCGTCAAGTTGGCAAAGACGTCTGAGCAAACATGCCCCCATGGGGGTCAAGAGCACCATTCGCTCCGCCTCGGATTGCTCCGGCTACGGCTCGGACCTCATTGCGTACAAACTCTTAGGCTTACAGAGTCGGGTTCTACCAGTGATGATGTCTGAGGTGGATGCGAACAAAGTGGTGTTACATCATGCTGTGTCGGAAGTCTGTGGCTTTAAAACTAAGAGTGAAGCCAGTGACATGTTTCTACGGAAACAAGGAGACATGAGCCCCTCAGATATCTATATCGCAGGATACCCGTGCCCTTCGTTCTCCAACTTAGGCCAAAAAAAAGGTGTGTTCGACCGGCGAGGTCTTGTCACCTTGAAAGGACTTGAATACATTGCGGTACATCGGCCACGGGTCGTTATTTTGGAACAAGTCAAGGCAATTTTGCAGAAACAACACACTAAGGTGTGGAATTACATCTTGAAAATTTTCAAGGAAATGGCATATGAGATTAATTACCGAGTACTGGACACTCGAAACTTCGCTGTACCTCAGTCTCGCCCACGGATGTATCTCCTCGCTGTGGCGAGGGAAATCTGCTGCGGAGAAGTTGCTTTGCCAGAAGATAGTCCAGACCGAGTTGATCTGCACTGGTTTCTCAACAAGAGTGTGACGGGCACAGAGAGCTTGCATTTACCCAAATATGAAGGACTCTTGGGGGACAAGATGTGGTCCAAAGGCTACATTTTGGATGTTGGTAGCTCGGAAAAGTTTCAATCAGTGATGACGAACGCATCTCCATGTCTGACAAAGACACGTCTCCAACAGGCCGGCTACTACATTCCGAAACTTCGTCGCCGTCTGCTTCTTCAGGAAGCTGCTGCGTTG